CCGACCCCCGCCCCCCCAGCTCCCGCCCTTCTCCCTCGGCACAGTGCCTTACTCGAAAGGTGGTCGTGATGGGGTTCGAACGGAGTCCCGCTACCTCGGGGACGCCTCCCCTCCCCCACTTGTTTGGCCCCCAGCCGGGAGGCCTCCGTTACCTCTTCCCGCACCCCACCCCCCCGCAGAGGGCCGGGGCTGCTCCCTGGGCGCCCCCCCCGCCACGCCGCTCTGCTTCTCACCGGTTTTCCTGTTGTACATATCACGTTGGTTGACAATAAATTATTTTTTTTTATGAAGAGTTCCGTCTGGGCCATCATTGGGGGAAGGGAGCCAGGGGGAAGACTTCTGGCCTCCCAGGGCAGCCTTGAAGGGCAGGAGGGCTGGAAGGTGATCCTGGGGGAACCGGGGATCGGCCTGGCCCGGAGGAGAGGGGCACCAGGGCAGGGCTTCTGTGGGTCCCTGGATGGGGCTGACCGGCGTCAGTCGTCTAAGGGCATCCCCTCCCATCATCCCTGCTCTGGAAATCGGGTCAGAAACGCCTTTTCTTTGACATATCATGTTAATACTTGTGACTCGCCAGGTAGGCTTCTGTCCAAGGGAGGCCATGGTCAGGGCTCAGGGATGCTCACACCCAGGGAGGTGAGAATAGTTATGGCCTGTCTAAAGTGAAGTGGGCCCAGTGCAGGGACTCACACCAGCAATCCCAGCACTTTGGAAGACCGAGGCAAGACGATTGCCTGAGCCCAGGGGCTCCAGACCAGCCCAGGCAACTTAGCAAAACTTCATCTCTACAAAAGATCAAAAAATTGGCCAGGTGTGGTGGCTCACCCCTGTGGTTCCAGCTACTTGGAAGGCTGAGGTGGAAGGCTCGCCTGAGCCCACCAGTCTGAGGCTGCGGTGGCCGTGAGCAGAGTGATGGCATTCGAGCCTGGATGACAGTGAGACTGACTCAAAAATAGCAATAACAAAATAAAATGGTGGGAGCTGACCTACAGGTGGAGCGATGCCCCCCCCCGGGGGGGTGGGCACGTGGGTCGTAAACTCAGTCCCACCTTCAGCCTTTCAGACCACGGTCTCCGATGCCTGGCTTTACCCTACCAACTCCTCGGCTTGATTCAACCCAAGCCTTTGCCTGGTTCCTACTTTCCCTGGACCACGATTCCTTTCCTCCTAAACTAATCACGGGCCAGGTCCGTATGGGTTTCCCCCTCTCTGAGATGGAGCACACAGCAGCTTCTGCCTAGACCCCAGACTCCACTGTCCTCTTTGGCATCTGTCGGCAGGTGTGGGGAGGACAGTTCCCCTCTACACATGGCCTGCTCCACGGCTCCTACAAGTCACATGCACTTAGAAGTGGGAGCCACAGGTGAGACACAGGGCAGTTGTGCCCAAAGGATGCTGACACTCCCCCAGATTTCTTTTTTTTTTATTTTTTTGAATTGGAGTCTCACTGTTGCCCAGACTGGAGTGCAGTGGCCGCTCCCAGCCACTGCAGCCTCGACCTGCTGGGCTCCGGCGATCCTTCCACCTCAGCCTTCCAAGTAGCCGGAATTACAGGCATGCACTACCACACCCGGCTGATTTTTTTATTTATTGTAGAGATGAGGTCTCGCCTGCCCAGGCGGGTCTCGAACCCATGGGCTCAGGCAATCCACTCACCTCAGCCTCCCAAAGGCGCAGGATAACAGGCTGAGCCACCGAGCCTGGCTAGCCACCAGATTTCTTAATTTAGTCAGGGTCTCACTGTCGCCCAGGCCGGAGTGCAGTGGCACGCTCACAGCCACCGCAGCCTTGACCCGCTGGGCTCAGGCAATCCTTCCGCCTCAGCCTTCCAAGGAGCTGGGACTACAGGTGGGCGTCACCACACCCGGCTAATGTTTTGACCATTGTAGAGACGAGGTCTCATTACGTTGCCCAGGCTGTTCTCAAACTCCTGGGCTCAGACAGTCCCCTCGTCTCTGCCTTCCAAAGTGCTGGGATGACGGGCGTGAGCCACTATGCCCAGCCCGGATTTTGAAACTGACCAGAAAGGTCATCTCAGTCAGGCACGGGTTGGGCATGGCACTGTGTGCTGTGTGCTCATCTGAGCGGGTGTCACCATAGGCCAGCCGCGTCCTGGGCCAGGTGTCGGGGATCTCACAACTTGATGGGCTCCTGGGACGTGGTCCCTTCTTCCTGTTTGGCAAGCTCAGGAGGAGGGAGGAGCCCAAGGATGTCCAGTGGGGATTAAAAGGCAGAGAGGTGTGGTGGTGGAGTCTAGTCACCTTGTGTCTGCACTTAACGCCGGTGTGCTTTTAAAACAACGTGACTGTGTTGCTGGCTGTTGACACTTGAGAAAACGTATCTAAACGTTCGTTGTAAAACTTGTGAATACAAAATTTACCTTTGCTGCTCTTCTCTGATTCATGGATCGGCCCACTAGACTGTGAGCTCTTTCCGGGCAGGAAGCAGGTTGTATTGACTTCATTGTCCCAGTGCCCTGCATGGGGCCTGACACTTAGTCGGTGCTCAATAAATGTTTGTCAAGTGCACTCTTGGTGTGTGTTCCAGTGTGATGTTTTTCTAGCACAAGTTGGTCTTGGTCCCTGGAGTGGGCACGGGGTGGTCGCCACGGTGGCTGTGACTTCAGCCTCACATCTCGGCCAGCAGGGGTCTGCCCAGCCTCAGCCAGGACCCTGGGAACTGTCTGTGGGCACCTCTGGGCTTCCGGGGACAGATGGAGAGAGTGGAGCCAGGGCATGACCCTGGTCCGGTGTGTGGAAGGACGCATTGAACCAAGCAGTGGTCGATTGCTTGGAACCTTCCTGCTCTCTCCACCTCGCTTGGGGGTCACCCCACCCCCTGCCCTGCCATCCTGGCCCAACACCGGGCAACTCCCTGCACGGATCTCACTGACCCCGGGGCTGGTGGTGGCAGCTTCATTCAAGTGAGGCATAGCTGTGACTTGAGGGGAAGGGATAGGGCTGCTGCCCCTGACCCAGAGCCACAGCCCCAATTCCTTCCCTGCCATCTCGCACTCTTTGAGGCCGGCCACCTCCTGCCCTCCCAGTTTCCTTCCTTGGAATCCAGGTGGGGGCAATCTTTTTGGACACCTAAAGGGGAAAACTTTTTCTACACTCGCAATACTTCTGACACCAGATGTGGGAGAGGGGACCCCTACACCAAGTCTTCTGCTTTCCAGACACCATGTAGGTGTCCTACAATTCCTTTATTATTATTATTTTTTAAGAGTCTCGTTTGACCCGGGGTGGTGGCTCAGTCTGTAATCCCAGCACTTTGGAAGGCCGAGGGGAGAGGATTGCCTGAGCCCAGGAGTTCAAGACCAGCTTGGGCAAAATAGTGATACTTCATCTCTACAAAAAAATTACAAAAACTAGCGGGGCATGGTGGTGTGTGTCTAGTTTCAGCTACTTGGAAAGCTGAGGCGGAAAGATTACCCAAGCCCGGCAGGGTGAGGCTGCGGTGGCTGTGAGCGTGCCGCTGCACTTTAGCCTGGGCAACAGAGTGAGACCCTGACTCAAAAAAAATAAAAAATAAAAAATAGGCCGGGCGTGGTGACTCATGCCTGTAATCCCAGCACTTTGGGAAGCAGAGGCGAGAGGACTGCCCGAGCCCAGGGTTCGAGGTCAGCCTGGGGCAACTTAGCAAGACCTCCTCTCTACAATAAATTAAAAACTACCCAGGTGTGGTGGCATGCGTCTGTACTTCCAGCTACTTGGAAGACTGAGGTGGAATGATTCCCCTGAGCCCAGCAGGTCCAGTCTGCGGTGGCCATGAGCATGCCATTGCATTCCAGTCTGGGTGACAAGAATGAGACTCCAACTTAAAAAAAAAGTCTCAGCCGGGCTCAGTGGCTCAGCCTGTAATCCCGCGCCTTTGGGAGGCCGAGATGAGTGGATTGCCTGAGCCTGCGGATTCGAGATCCGCCTGGGCAGCGAGACCTTATCTCTACAATAAATCAAAAAATCAGCCGGGCGTGGTAGTGCGCGCCTGTAATTCCAGCTACTTGGAAGGCTGAGGCGGAAGGATCGCTGGAGCCCAGCAGGTCGTGGCTGCGGTGGCCGGGAGCGGCCACTGCACTCCAGTCTGGGCGACAGAGTGAGCCTCCAACTCAAAAAAAAAAAAATAAGTCTCAGCCGGGCTCGGTGGCTCAGCTGTAATCCTGCGCCTTTGGAAGGCTGAGGTGAGTAGATTGCCTGAGCCCGCAGGATCGAGACCCCCCTGGGCAACTTGGCGAGACCTCATCTCTACAATAAAATCAAAAATTAGCCAGGTGTGGTAGCGCACGCCTGTAGTTCCAGCCACCGAGCCCAGCCAGCTAGGGGGTTTTCAATGGCCGGCAAGAACGGTCAGCCTGATCAGCTCAGGGGAACACAGCTGCGGGTCTGTGGTCATGGGAACGTGACAGCAATCACGCGTATACAATGGAGGGGGGTCATTTTTAGGTCAGACCACTGAGATGGAGGATTTTGACAAAATGGAGTTACTTCATGTCAACCAAGTTATTGCAATTATTTTACATATTTCATTAGCTATTTCAGAGTGTGCCACTGCCCTCCAGCCTGGACGACAGTGAGACTCCAACTCAAAAGTAAAAAAAAAAAAGAGCCAAGTTATTTTTTGGTGAGAATAGGGAAGGATGTGTCTTGCTATATTGCGCAAGCTGATCTCAAACACCTAGCCTCAAGAGATCTTCCTATCTTGGTCTCTCAAAGTGCTGGGGTTACAGGCTGGAGCCACCATGCCCAGTCAATCTGTAATTCAATTCTGACAATACCTGGAGTTAGCACAGATCCCACAGGTTAAGGG